GGCGCACCTCGTCCGTCTCGAGAAAAAACGGCCGAAGCGCTGTTTACCCTGGCTCGCGTCACACTTCCCTTCGACAATGTCAAGTTACGACTTCCGGAGCGAACGCGCGACCACTCTTTCTTTCCCTGTGCCGATGCGCGTGCCGCGCGCATACCTAGCCGACCGATCTCGCTCTTACGAACGGTTTTCTCGTTTTTCTCGCCTTTCTCGTCTTTCTCGTTTTCCGGTTCATCCGGAATTCCTCGAAGAACCTACCGACGAATAGCGAGGACCGAACGAATAAATACCTCGTTTCGAATCGCGGCTACCGGTTCTCGAACGCGATCCGGTCGTTCCGCTGCGTCGGATGGAATACGCGTCGCGTACCCCCGACACTCGTCGACGTCTCGTTAGCTCGCTACTGGAAACCTACGATCACCGTGTACGCCGAAGCGGCGCCACCGAGCTAAACTTTCGACTTTCCTCTCTTTCGAGGGAAAACTGGCGAAACGGAGGAGGAAGACGAATCGAGAATCTCTGACTATCGAACGGCGAAGAGGCAACGGAGGGGTCCGTTTGTTTGTTCTCGATAACGAGCGGCCGTTCGCTGGCTACGAGCCCGCGATAACGGCCGACACGAGGGCACGCGGGCTACGGGGGAGGGGCAGATCGAGGGGATCGTCAGAGGTGTCCACCTTCTCCTCGCGCTCCGCTTCGTCCCGCTCGACGCGTTGCTCGAGAGCTGCTCGTCTTTTCTCGTCGGCCATCGTTGCCAACGCCATTTTGCGACGGATTCCGTGGATCGCACCACGGAAGGTAGGGTGCACCGATCGATCGTTCGCACCCGGTGTCGGTTATCGCGCGGCCGAAAAAAAAAAACTCTTCCCTTTCGAAGACGACGCGTCCATTTTTCGCCGCTCTCGCGAACCTTCCAGTCATTCTCCTTCGCAGATAAAGATCTTGCGCGTTGCTCGCGTCATCGCTGCCGCTCTGATTCACCTTCGCAAACGAACCGTCGCCCTGTCGCCTAACTCGAGCAAGGAATTCGAAACCGTTGCTCCGTCCGAAACGGAAACTTTGTTCGCTCGGACAGAGGGGGACCTTCGAGGCCTACGTGACATCGAGTCTCGGCGTCACGGGTTTCGATCGCGACGGATTAAGCGACGATCGAGATTAGGATCAAAGACGTTTCGAGCGATAACGGTTTCGCGAACTCGAAATTATTTTTCGCTTTGCCTCGCAGCCGTTCTTTTTTCGCGGCTCGCGGCGCCTTCGACGAGTAGAGAACGCCGCGATGTTCGGCCTATCTCGAATCGAATCGAAAAATTCGTCGTTTATCGTGACACGAAGGAAACGCGAACCACTTCGCGTAGTATCGTCGATAACGGACGATAACGAACGAATCGTGCCACGTCGTTCGGTTGGTTCGATCGAGAGAACGAATCGATAGAAAAATTCCCTTTTCCCCGCCGACGAAGAACAACTCGGGGCTCGGGGACTCGGCGAAAATGCGAAAAGCGAAATTCCGCTGCCGGAAACGGAATTAACGGGTAACGAGGTGTCGTTAACTCGCGAAGACGGAACAGGGTCGGAAAGGAAAGGGAAAGAAAGGAAAGGAAAAAAGAAAAACGATCGAAACGCGTGTTCGCGCGAATCTTTAAAGCGAATTCGCGACCACCGATGGGGAGGTCGATCGAGCCGTGGCGTGAGGCACGCCGTTGTCAAAATAAACGGCACTATCGCGATTTATCTCGTTTCCCATGATAATAAGAGATAAAACTGCATCCTTACATTAGCTAGTATATCAGCTAAAATGATAATTTCAGTCGTCGGGTCCGCCAGGAACGCGTAGGGCCGCGTCTCTAGCCTCGCTCCAGTCGGAGCATTCGCGGCAGCGTCGTTACGATCGTGGTTCGCTCGTTGCTCGTCGCGGTGGTCGCTTCTTCCGCGTTTCGCGTATTTCCCGCGAGTTCTTCCTCGAATTTGCCCGTTCACCCTTTCGTTTCTCTAAGCGATCGGGACACTCGATTTTATCGTCGAGAGGATTCGACGGGAACGAGTTGGATCGGATGTCAGGACGGATACGCGAACGTTTCGTCGGGATTCGGAGACGGTGAGTTCCACGGGGGCTGTGTGTCATGGGAAAAATTCGCGAACGCGACGAGGCCATTTTCTTTATCGGACGAGTAGGAAATTCTTATCGGCGTAAATGAAAATCCCAGGTAACGCGATACTCGCGCGTGTGTGCGAAGGCGCGCACGCGCGCGCCGAGAAACGAGATTTTTTATTTCGGCGCGATGGCTGCTCGAAGGCGCGCGCAGCCGCGCGGGCGTCGACCAAAGGGCGGCCGACGAGTCCGCGCAAGGGGATGACGCGTATTCGTCGTTCGTTACGCAATCGCCGTTCTTCCTCGAATCGTGTCTCGCGTAATTTTCCATCCCGCGAAAGTTGCCGCTCGAGCGCGAACGGAGAATTTCGTTTCTCGAATCGAGACAGATTTGTTCGCGGCTTTCGGAAACGAGCGGTTGCGCGACCTTGCCTCTTGCCCCCTCGAAACAGTCGACGAAACTCGACGGCCAAAGCTCTTTACGATCCGATCTGATCCGCACGCGCGCGAGCGCGCCCGTTCCCTTGATAACGCGATCCTCGACCGTCTCTCTCTTTCTCTCGCTCTCTTTTTCTCTCCTCGTCTTTGCTCCGCTGCACGCGATCGCGCCTTTTACAACGCAATTACCGCAATAATTTACAACAACCGAATCGTCGCCCCCCTCCGTCGTCGACTTAAACGCGAACAAACATCGTTCGTCGACCGTTGCGCGTCTCGTTTTCGGTAGAATCGCGAAAATACCGAGCCGATCTAGAGAGGCGAAACTTTTCGCGCGACGAGAGACCGGCGACTCGAGCAGCGATCGACCCTCGAAGACTCGCGGATGGCTCGAATAATTAACGCTCGCGCGACAAACAGCATTATCGTCGTTGCCCGATATTATTCCATTATCTTACGTCGGCTATGTGCTTAACGATTAATAAAATATCTGCGCTCTGGGCTATCTCGTCTCGATATCGTATAGTTTGGTCGCGGACGTCGTCTCGAGACGGCGTAGCAGGTACGCGGTCGAGTAAGCGCGAGCACGCGAGTCGACC